AGGGTTCAAATCCCGGCTCCAGCTCCGTTTCTATACCATGAACCAGGCACTGGGTGAATTAGTGAGATGAGGCCCAAGGAAGCCTCCAAAAAAAAAAAACCAAACTCACTCCATCGAATTGATTCTGACTCACAGCGACCCCCTTTGGGTTTCCGAGGCGGTAAATCTTTAAGGAAGTAGGTTGCCCAGTCTTCCTTCTGCCAAGTGGCTGGTGGGTTTGAACCGCCAGCCTTCTGGTTAGCAGTCCAATGCTTTAGGCACTCTGCCACCAGAGCTCCTTCGAGGAGGCCTAGACACCCCAATTACTCACGTACCATCACAGCTGCCTGACAGACCAACCTGTGGAGGCAAGAGTTAGAAGGAGGCGGCGGGAGGCTGCCCACGGCACTCGCAGCTGTGTGAAGTGTCTTAACAAGGGCCAGGAAGTGTTGGAACAAGCGTGACAAAATACTAGGGTGGGAATTAGGGTGATGAATTGTTTTCCTCGCAGCCCTGCCCCTGCTGCCTAGGAAGCGGCACGTGGTGGGCGGAGACCGCAGAGCGAATACCAGGCTGCAGCGGGCCCGGCTCCTGCTCTCAGGCACCCCAGGCCAGCCCAGGAAGGCAGGGTGGGTGCAGGCCCTGAGGTCCCGGCGCCTTCAGCCACAAGAGAGCTGTGTCCACGGGAGGAAGGGATTGGCCGCGACGGCAGGCGGGCTGAAAGCTGCAGAGAGGTGTCCCCGCCCCGCCCGCCAGCTCGTCCTACTGTGGCGGCTGCACCTGGCTGTGGTGCCAGAAGCCTCTGCCACCGTATTTCAAACACCAGGTCCCAGCAGAGCTTCCAGGCTAAGGCAAGGCCTGGTGATGCGTTGCCAACAGTCAGCCCGTGAACCCCGTGGGGCAAGCTGACGACAGGAGGCAGTGCGTTCATGTTGCGGGAGGAACAGCTCAGGAAAGGACGGGGGACAGTGCCACAACTCAGGTGCCATCAGTATCACTGGACTGTCCACACAGAAACCGCTCGAGTGGTGTGTGTCCCCGCGCCAGAGCGTGCGTCTCGGAGCCACGCTCCGACGAACAGGGCGACCCCACCTAAGTGAGCATGGCTGTGCCTCGGTCTCCCCTCCTGAGATGCGAGCTCTGGACTCCAGGGTCTCCAGGTCCTGTCCGAGGGCTTCTCGTCAAGGTGACGGAGATGTCCTGGAACTGACTGCAGCAGTGGTCGCTCTCCTCTGTAAACCTGCTGAAAACCACTGCACTGTGCGCTCTCGGTGGAGGGATGTGTAGCGATGGATGGCGCGCCCATAAAAACCAAACCAAGCTCACTGCCGTCCAGTCAGCCCCGACTCATAGCGACCCCTCCTTGCATTGCCGAGGTGGTATCGCTGCGGAAGTAGATTGCCCCACCTTCCTTCCGAGGGGTGGCTGGCCTCCAGAACTGTAATAGTAGGTGTTTCAGACCACAGCACCTGTGCTAATGTCACAGGAGCAGGAGGGGACATCTACAGCACCTGGCCAGTAGGGAGAAGCAGCCCCCAAGCCGCCAGGAGGCCCAGTCCTCCTCCTGCACCCTGCCCCACCCGGGCCAGGCACAGAGGGGTGGCAAGTTCGCCGCCCCCCTTCTGCCAGCATGGCACACACCTTGCACGGCCCCACCTGCAAGAGACAGCCTAGGGGGCTGACGTGGGTCACACACGCACCTCCACCTGGAGGGGGTGGGTGGATGGGGAGGGAGGTGCAGGGACAGCCTGGCCATAGCCCTGTCTGCCCAGAGGGGGCCACGGGGAGCGGCACTGTCTCATTCCTGAGCGTGGGG